ATAGTCCATGGGGTCGCAAAGAGTTGGACAGGATTGAGCGACTTTCACTTTCACTTTCTTTCTTTCCTGTTAGCTATGTGCTGTGCACTGTGCTTAGTCACTCAGTCGTGTCCGACTCTTTGTGACCGCATGGACTACAGCCAGCCAGGTTCCTCTGTCCATGGGGATTCACCAGGCAAGAATACTGACTGGAGTGGATTGCCGTGCCCTCGTCCAGGTGATCCTCCCACCCCAGGGATTGAACCTAGGTCTCCCTCATTACATGCGGATTCTTTACCATCTGAGCCAACAGGGAAGCCAAAGAATACTGGAGTGGGTAGCCTGTTTCTTCTTCAGGGGAACTTCCCAACCCAAGAATTGAAGCTGGGTCTCCTGCAGTGCAGGCGGATTCTTTACCAGCTCAGTATCAGGGAAGCCCTCTGTTAGCTATAGATCTTCAAAAACATGTCACAATTCTATAGCGCTGTGTATGGACTTTTTTCATTCACAGTTATTTCATTGATGCTACTTTGTTTTTACTTTTGTACAATCAACAATAATACATTTTTACAATGATTTCAAAGGGTAATTGAACAATACAGATCACTGATGATTTCTCTGTTAAAGGCAGCTGAAAATTAGAGTAATATTCGCTCAGTTAGCATTGAATAAAGATAATTTGTCCAGCAGAAACAAAGGAGAGACCATTTCTAATTAGAACACTTAATAGTTGTATAAATATGGAAAACCATCAACTCTTTCTGAGAAGCAGTCATTTTATCTGTGAAATGGGGATTGTATTTGTCCTGCTTTAATCTTTATAATTCTAAAGGCTTAAAGTAACTAATATTTATATATCCAATAATAACTTTTAAAAAGCAGACTGTACAGAAGCTGCAATGAGGAATAGGGAAATATACATATAAAGGAGGAGATTTTGATAAACCTTTCCCAGTTCAAGACATACAAGTTATTTATATTTCATCTGGGAGTAAAAACTCTTGTTGTGTAAATCTTGGGGTACACACATACATACACTCATGGGCACACATATCTGATTGTGTACTTACTGATTGATTTATTTCTTCTTTTGATATGCTTCTCCTGTTTGCTATTTTTTTATAATATATCAAAAGCATATTTTGATATGTTTCTCCTGTTCCTGGAGAAGGGAATGGCTACCCACTCCAGTATTCTGGCCTGGAGAATTCCATGGACTGTATAGTCCATGGGGTCGCAAAGAGTTGGACAGGATTGGGCGACTTTCACTTTCACTTTCTTTCTTTCCTGTTAGCTATGTGCTGTGCACTGTGCTTAGTCACTCAGTCGTGTCCGACTCTTTGTGACCGCATGGACTACAGCCAGCCAGGTTCCTCTGTCCATGGGGATTCACCAGGCAAGAATACTGACTGGAGTGGATTGCCGTGCCCTCGTCCAGGTGATCCTCCCACCCCAGGGATTGAACCTAGGTCTCCCTCATTACATGCGGATTCTTTACCATCTGAGCCAACAGGGAAGCCGAAGAATACTGGAGTGGGTAGCCTGTTTCTTCTTCAGGGGAACTTCCCAACCCAAGAATTGAAGCTGGGTCTCCTGCAGTGCAGGCGGATTCTTTACCAGCTCAGTATCAGGGAAGCCCTCTGTTAGCTATAGATCTTCAAAAACATGTCACAATTCTATAGCGCTGTGTATGGACTTTTTTCATTCACAGTTATTTCATTGATGCTACTTTGTTTTTACTTTTGTACAATCAACAATAATACATTTTTACAATGATTTCAAAGGGTAATTGAACAATACAGATCACTGATGATTTCTCTGTTAAAGGCAGCTGAAAATTAGAGTAATATTCGCTCAGTTAGCATTGAATAAAGATAATTTGTCCAGCAGAAACAAAGGAGAGACGATTTCTAATTAGAACACTTAATAGTTGTATAAATATGGAAAACCATCAACTCTTTCTGAGAAGCAGTCATTTTATCTGTGAAATGGGGATTGTATTTGTCCTGCTTTAATCTTTATAATTCTAAAGGCTTAAAGTAACTAATATTTATATATCCAATAATAACTTTTAAAAAGCAGACTGTACAGAAGCTGCAATGAGGAATAGGGAAATATACATATAAAGGAGGAGATTTTGATAAACCTTTCCCAGTTCAAGACAGAGCAAAGCAAATGGACAAAAAATAGCAAAAATAGAAAAGCTAAAGATACAATCAATTAAAAAGCACAAATACATATCAAACTGCAAACTATCATAATAAAAATTATATCTCTTTTCAGTATACATACAACATTCACAAATATTGTTACAAACATAATCTCAATAAATTTCAAAAAAATAGTTATTATGCAAGCAGCATGTATATATCATTAGCTGTAGAGAATGGGACTGAGGAGTTTGGAGAAGGCAAAAACACCAGCTAGACTTCTCAGGAGAGATATTACTTCATAGGTTGATTTTTTAATCAGGTAAATATTTTATGTAATTTAAAATAAAATAAAAAATTTAAAATAAATTCATAAAAATTGAAAGAAAAATGTAATAAACAAACCTAGCTATGTATCCAGATTGTGATATGTGTATGGTGAGATAAAACAGCTGAGGGCTGTGTTGTTGCCATCAGGACCTGGAACACTTGATGAGAGGCAAAAAGATGAGACTAAGGAAGAGAAGCAAAGGTGTCAGTGGTGTTGATAACCTTAGATGGTGAATACGTAAGAATGTTATATGTACAAATGGAACTAGTTTATTTATATACATACATGCTGTGCTGTGTTTAGTGCTTAGTCATGTCTGACTCTGTGACCCATGGACTTTAGCTTGTCAGACTCTTCTGTCCATGGGGATTCTCCAGGCAAGAACACTGGAGTGGGTTGCCATGCTCCTCCAGGGAACCCAGGTCTCCCGCACTGCAGGTGGATTCTTTACTGTCTGAGCCACCAGAGAAATCCAAGAATACTGGAGTGGGTAACCTATCCCTGCTCCAGGGGATCTTCCCAACCCAGGAATTGAAGCTGGGTCTCCTGCCTTACAGGAGGATTCTTTACCAGTTGAGTTACCAGGAAAGCCCTTATACATACGTACATATGTATATATTACTTGTGGATACATTATGCATTAAGATAAGGGTATATTATCTAGCTCCTGGTATTAGGAAGACCAGTTAGTAATCTGCTATAGTAAAAGTCCAAGGCAGAGATAATGGTAATTGGGACCAGAGTGGAATATTTGAGTGTTGAAAACTGGGATGTTTTTAGGGAAAAAAAAATACCGCAGAACTTGCTGATAGATTGGATCTTTGCTAAATCTTGTCCAAAGGAAATATTAGTTCTTTTTTTTCCTCCCCCATGGAAAGATATCTTTTTAAAATTTGTTTCCTTATGTAATTAGCTTCAAGCATTGCAGAGTAGCTAAAAGTTTCCAGGCAAGGTATGTGGAGCAGAGGAGTTCATTTTAAATTCAGAATTTAAGAATCTTCAAAAGGTCTGTGTTGTGGTCCTTTGATGGACTGGAACCTGGTGGTACGGAGTCAACAATAAGAAAGTAAAAGAGAGAAAGAAGCTGATGTTCCCTGGTTTACGCAGAGGACCAACAAAGCCCTTGACATAGGACTTGCATCGCTCACGAAGGCACCAGGTGCCCTCTCGAGGGGGTGAAGGCACAAAGTGCCTTCTTGAGAGGGTCTTAGAAGCACAGGCAGGAAAGTGAGCACGACAGGTCGCCATGCTCCAGAGAGTCAGCCAGAAAAAGAGAGAGAGAGAGAGAGAAACAAAATAGACTCAGAAACTTAAGCTCTGATGGAGCAAAGGTGCTTTAATGATTTTTCTATGAGTATATATAGGCTGTGGTACAAGAAACTTCTTTCGGGAATGATAGAGATCAGAAAACCAAACGAATAGCAACCGTTACCAAGGGAGCAAGGGGTAATGTTAGTCACAAGGTCAGGAGACAACCCATATCTCAAGAAAGGGGAATGAGACTAAGCAGTTTGTCCTAAAGAGAATGTTTACTAAAGGAGACCCAAGCCTGCCTCACACAATGACCTCAGTCCCTGGGAGCAGCATGCTGTTCCACTTGAAGAGGGACAGAGGACTCATGAGAGACAGCACGTAGGAATCCTCCCGTCAAACATTCCCTGACAGGTCTGAGGCAGAAAGGAAGTAATAAAGAAAACACAAGGTCACTGGGCAAAGTGTAAGTGGTGATGATGCAGATATTGGTAAGACTGCTTCCATTTCAGATGTTGATTTTGACCGTTAATTCCTATTCAGGAGTACCAGTCAGGGCTGAGGCTTTAAAGGAGTATGTTCCCAGCAGGGAGCTCTTGAATTATGATGCTCATTACCAAGTGTGCTGGCTGCTTTCACACATGACTTTTAAGGCATCAATAATTTATAATGTGATTTATTTGTAAATAATGTGAAAAGAAAGTACTTGGCTGTCCTGATACAACATAAGTAGCCTGAGGAGTTGATGCAGAAACCAAGGCATAGGTAACTGGTAAGAATTTTTTTTTCCAGTGTCTAGGACTCTGATATAAACCTGGGAAGGTCTGCCCACAGTAAAGTGTCTAATATTATATGACTACAAATGCTCACTAATAAGAAGGTAAGAACTGAGAAATTCTGTCAATAGCAACAAGTAAAATTCAATATTTGTATCTTCATTTTATCTTCATTTTCCTCTCTAGTTTTTATTTCTGCTTTAAATTGAGCTGTACAAAAAATTTGGCTAACTTTCTCTGTGATTGGGTATAGGATTGTCATAGGGTAAGAAAAGAAAATACTGAAGTAAAATGTAAGGTCACTCTGTCAGAACAGAAAAAGAATTTCAAACATATCCTGGGATATTGATCAGAGAAATGAGTGCTTCTTAACTATCAAAATACAGAGCTGATGGAGACAAAACTGTGTCTCTAAGACCAAATGAGGACTAATGTGGCAGATTTTCAGAATTTTCATAATGTAGAGTGAAGTAATTCACTCAGTCATGTCCGACTCTTTGCGACCCCATGGACTGTAGCCTACCAGTTTCCTCTGTCCATGGGATTTTCCAGGCAAGAGTTCATAATGTAGAAGAACCACATAAAACCAAGACTGGATATGAAGCTCCATCTAGGAGTTATAGGGCTTCAATATGACACTGGCAGCCACCATCCTGGATAAAAGAAAACCTCCCTAATACTCTCCTGAAGGCCCCCATTACCTCCTTGTTTCTCAGACTATAGATGAGAGGGTTCAGTGCTGGAGTAATGACAGTGTAAAATACAGAGAGGATGTTGTCCTGTCGGGGACTGTGGTAGGAGCTGGGCTCGACATACATAAACATGGCAGCTCCGTAGTACATTCCTACCACAGTCAGATGGGAAGAACATGTGAGGAGGGCTTTCTGCCTTCCTTCTCCTGAGGACATGTGGAGGACAGCAACTAGGACAAACGTATAGGAGGCAAGGATAGCAGCAAGGGAAGGCATGAGAAAGACGGAACCTGACACATACACCATGAACTCGTATCTGGAGGTATCTGCACAGGCCAATTTCAGCAAGGGTGGGATCTCACAGAGGAGGTGCCTGATTTCCCGGGTCATGCAGAAAGGAAAATGCATGGTATATGAAGTGTGTATCACAGAATTCAGGAATGCCAGGGTCCAAGATGTGGCCATCATGAGCCAGCAAATCCTGGGCCTCATGAGGACCGTGTAGTTCAGAGGATGACAAATGGCTACATACCTGTCATAGGCCATGAAGGCCAATAAGAGGCCCTCTGCACCACCGAGGGTCAGTACTAGGAACATCTGAAGGGCACAGCCCTCAAAGGAGATGGCATTCTCTCCACGCAGATAATCCACAAGTGTTTTAGGAATAACTACAGATGTAAGCATCAAATCCATGAGAGAAAGCTGGCCGAGCAGGAGGTACATGGGCACGTGGAGCCGGGCATCCACTGTGATGACCAGGAGCAGCAGGCCGTTGCTGGTGAGGGCCAGAGTGTACAGGACTGAGATTGTAGTGTAGAGCAGTCCAGGAGACCCACTGTCGGTCAGAATCCCCACCAAGATGAAACCACTTTCCAAGGTGGAGTTATAGAGCTCCATTCTGTGTTTTTTTTTTTTTGTTATCTGAAATTATGAAAAATCAGGTAAGGTAGTTCTGATGTGGTCACTGGGAACTCCTTGCCTTTACAATGTTACAGCCCTTGATCAAAAGAAATTAGTTGCTCAGTTTATCATAGCATGTATTCATCTTTCATTCACAAATTAAATCACCAAGTATGTACTGATAAAATATTGTTAAAATAGCACATTTCTTTGCCATTTCTGATGTTTCCTTCAATGTCAGGCAAGTCCCACTTGGGCAGTAATTCTACATTTTCTCTGCTTCACCACCCCACTTCCCTCTCTTGAGAAACAGGAGCAACCTAACCAATGGGAAACATTAAAGGGAAAATCTAGGCATATAGACATATGGAGTGCACTAAATAGCTTCAGTCATGTCCAATTCTTTGCGACCCTATGGACTGTAGCCCACTAGGCTTCTCTGTCCAAGGGATTCTCTAAACAAGAATACTGGAGTGGGTTGCTATGCCCTCCTCCAGGGGATCTTCCCGACCCAGTGGTCGAACCCATGTCTCTTTACATCTTCTGCATTGGCAGGTAGGTTCTCTACCACTAGCACCACCTAGGAAGCCCAGACATATGGTATCCAGCTTCTTTTTCCTTCCCTTCTTTTCAGGAGATGCAGCATCTTTGAGAAGTCCCAACATACATTTCCCTCTCTCCCACCCAGGTTGTGAAGCAATTGAGACAGGAGATATTTGTGCAGCCAAAACATCACCCTATTTTTCATAAAGCAGAAATTATGGAATGTAATTTCTGTGTCAGTGGATAATGGACTTCCTAAACCTCAAAATGAACGTAATTACCTTTGCAGTCACAAGCAATGCAGGACCAGGTCAGTACTCCCCACCTAAGAAGGACTGGTGGAACGGGAGAACAAGAGATACAAGTACTGGTTGTTGTATCTTCTAAGAAAAAGAGAGAATTTTATTCCGATTCATTCTCAAATTAGATTAACTTCCTGAAACTTGAGAAGAAAGGAGAGAGTAGAGGCTAAGGATTAACATTCAGTTCAGTTCAGTCACTCATTCATGTCCGACTCTTTGTAACCCCATGAATCGCAGGCCTCCCTGTCCATCACCAACTCCCTGAGTCTACCCAAACCCATGTTACCTTGATGTAAAAGAAAATTTTGGAAAAGAACCATTCCCTCTTGTGCCTATTATGTGCCAGGCACTGTGCTACCTCCCATTCATACAGGGAAGTACATAGTATATAAAATACCTGACCACATTCAGTTACACTCATAAGGAGCATTGAAAGGTAGGTGGAAAATTCCCTGGCTGTCCAGTGGTTGGAACTCCCCGCTCTCACTGCCCAGAGCCTGGATTCAGTCTTTGGTCAAGGAACTAAGTCCCCACAAGTTGCATGGCATAGTCAATAAATAAATAAAATAGATGTAACTATAAATAGTGAAAAGCATCCTAAAGGAAAAAAAAATGAACAGTGGTTCTCATGTAGATTGGTAGTTAAAGAAAGCCTTCTGAGTCTGTGAATTTTAAGCTCAGTTTTGAAAGACAAATGTAAATTATCCAGTTGAGGAGGGATGAAGAGCTACCTGAGCAATATAAAATATGCAGAATATTTGAAACAGGAGAGAGCTTGTAATTTCTAAGAAGCTGAAGGACGACTAGTGAGGACAGTACTGAACAAGAGGCACTTGGAGAGATAAACAGGTTCCGAGTCCTGTTTGGCCTTTCAGGGAATATGGACTATTGTTGTTGTTTGTTAACTAAGTCATGTCTGACTCATTTGTGACCCCATGGACTGTAGCCTGCCAGCCTCCCTGTTCATGGGATTTCCTAGGCAAGAATACTGAGGTGGGTTGCTATTTCCTTCTCCAGGAGATCTTTCTGACCCAGGGATTGAATCCACCTCTCCTGCATTGCAGGCCGATTCTTTACCACTGAGTCTCCATGGAATCCCATATAGACTATAATTTAGAGCTGTTTTTTTTTTTTTTTAACGTTTTACTTTGTATTGGGATATAGCCAATTAACAAAGTTGTGATAATTTCAGGTAAATAATGAAGGGATTCAGCCATACATAAACATGTTTGCATGCCTGTCCCAAACTTCCAAACTATCCTTTCCCCTCATCCTTTCCCTGGCAACCATAAGCTCATTCTCTAAGTCCCTGAGTCTGTTTCTGTTTTGTAAGTTCATTTGTATCATTTCTTTTTAGATTCCACATATAAGGGGTGTCTTTAATCTGTATACACAAGAGTGATTCATACTTTTAAAAGATAACTCTGATAGTCCCATGGAGGAGCACAAGTAGAAGATGGGCAAGAACAGACTNAGTCACCATCTGCAGTGATTTTGGAGCCCCCCAAAATAAAGTCAGCCCCCCCAAAACCCCCCCAAAAAACAAAAAAACTGTTTCCCCATCTTTTTGCCATGAAGTAATGGGACCAGATGCCATGATCTTAGTTTTCTGAGTGTTGATAGATTCTCAATAAATGTAAAGTATGAGCACTATATAGAAACCAGTTTACAGAGATTTTTGTTCAATTACTATTTTTTTTATTGGTGGTAAAAACAAACAACATGTGATCTGCTCTTGTAAAGCTCTAAGTGTCCAGTACAGCCAACTGTAAGCTCATTGTTGTACAGTAGATCTCCTGAACTTTCCCGTTTGGCATGACTGAGACGTTATACTCACTCAACAGCAGCTCTGCATTTCCACATCCCAGCAGCCCCTAGAAGCCACCGTTCTTTCTGCTACAGTTTGACTCCTTTAGATGACATAAGAGGAATCAAGTAGTATTTAGACTTCTGTGGCTGACTTCACTTAACACAGTGTATTCCAATTTCTTACATGTTGTAGCACAGGACCAGATTTCTTTCTCTTTATAGTTGAATAAAATTCCATTATATTTATATCACATTTTCTTTAGTCATTCATCTGTCAGTGGACATTTAAGTTGTTCCTCCCTTTTGGCTATTAACACAGTTTATCAATTGCCCTCCAAATCAGTTCATCATCTGGCCAGCTGACCTCCCCTGCCTCATTTCTGCCTGTGGTTCCTAGCCTCTGCACCCTCCTCCGTCCCTGTCTGGACCCCAAATCCCTCCATGTTGATTCAGTTGAAATTCTCCAGGAAATTGTGTTTCCTCTTGCCTCTAGGCTTTTGCACTTGCAGCTCCTCTTCCTAGAAAGTGCCATTTCTTTCCCCTTTCCCATTCCTCATGCTCTAATCCTTTTTCTCAGTTAAAACTTGCTGGTACTTCAGAACATCTCTGATACTACCTCCGAGTAACAGAGGTACTCTGCCTTGCTTCTCTCAGAGTAAGCAGCTTCCCAGACTATTGCAGTCAAATATTTTAATGCTAATCTTTAAGCATAAGGATTATGTCTTATTCACAGTGTTTGTTCAGTATATGGCACAGCTCCTCAATTAGAGAATATCCTTGATGATTATTTGTTGAATAAATGAGACCAACATTAATGACATGTCCAAGACCTAGGGAACAAATAACATTTCCTAACCATCCACATTTCCTAACTAGGGTCCTGCTCCCATTTTCTGATCATTCACCTACAGATACCTCATAATACCTCCCAAACAGAGATAAAATCCTTACCTCTGATACATAGGAGTTACTGCTGGTCAACTTCACTGTTGGTTGTGTATCTTGTTTGGAGAGTGAAGAAGTGTAGCTAGAAATTGGTGAGTAAATAAAGTAGATTTTGTACCAGTGCATGAAGGGGACCTGCTGTGAGGAGGTTTGTGGGATCAGTGGGTCAGGGTGTTCCCATCCACTTGGCTTTGCAGGGCCTCCCTGGGATGGGCCACCTGGTCTTTGAATGACTTCCACTTCAGAGAGAAGGGTCTCATAGGAACCTGAAACAGCCTGTCCCCTCTCTTATGAGAAGGGTTAAGACAGGCTGTGTCTCTGAGCCAGTCACCTTGTGAAGGAATTTTCCTAGCCATTAAGCAATTGTCTAACTAAGGTAAATGCTTAACTTTTAAAAACAGTTTCACTCCTAGTTGGCTCTGGAGGAAAAACTGAATAAAGGAAAACCAGTGCAGATGATCCAGGAAGAGGACCCAAAGGAAGGCGTGCAAAGCCTGGCCTCACTTTCTCAGGGGCCACCGTGAGACAGGGCCCTGTCCTTGGGGGTGGCTCTTCTGCCTCCCTATATGATGACAATGACTTTATCCCTCTACTCAGAAGCTTTGTTTAAAAGGAACTCTCTCCCCAGCTGAATTGATCCCTTCCTGGAAGTGCTGGGAGATAGGACTTTTAATCAGTCTCCTGGATGTGATACCTGACCTCTTAACTCTTCTTTCATCTCTCAATAAATGAGTTCTGCACCCCAGTAAAAGAAAAAGGGGGCGGGGGGGGGGGGCTGCTATTTACAATCCCCGAGTTCACACCTAATGACCAGGCCTTGGGCTAGTACTGTGCATCTCTGCCAAATTCTCAGGGATTTGAGAAGACCCAATGAGGTCTCAGGAGAGCTGTGAAAGCAGGACTCTATCTCAGTCTTTCCTCTGGAGGGAACTATTGCACTGAGCACAAGTGAGTATCTCAGAGCAAATTAATTAAGACTAAAGCACACAATGTATCCTGCTTTGTTTTCCCTCCGTAGTTCTTTATTTTTTCCTCATTCAATATGTAACCCTAACTTTGCATGCTTTGTTTTCCTCCCATTATTCTGTCTTTTTTTCTCATCCAATTTGTATTAACTTCAACTGTGCACTGAACACAACATTATATAGCAATAATAGAGAAAAAAATAACCAACCATCCTTTCTTAGGGATGTTACCTTCTAGGTGGTGGAGAACAAGAAATAAAATATCATAAGTGTTACATTGTATATTAGGAGTTTTCAAGTGCTTTGGAGCTAAAAAAAGGTAAGAGGAACAGAGAATGTGGGAAGAAATTGTTAACTTTAAATAGAAGGGTTAGAGCAGAGCTTACTGAGAAAATGTCCTTTGAGCAAAAATGTGAAGATCATTTTAGACAGA